AATCGAGGTAGTGCTGTAACCTGCAACATTCTGGTGACCAAATACTGTTCTTCCACCCTTCAGTAAACACAATCAAAACTTAGTTCTCAAATGTGAGAATGATGAACGATTTAAACACAAGAAACTAGACTCAAAGGATACAATATCATCAAAACCTCATCCCAAAATACAATATATATTGGGAGATATGCACTTTTTAAGTCAAGTCAAATGTAGAAAAGCCCTTTTTCAACAACTCAATTCTTCCAAACCTTGCCCCTAATATATCGAAACTCACCCAAGCCCTTAGGGGCTCTATCTAATCATTCCTACAAGTCCAAATACCCTATATGGACTTGTCTAAAGGCTCAAAATACCTACGAGAACATCACAACAAAGAATCAAGGCTCAAACTGAATAGAATTTCTCTTAAGTTCTTAAATCTTCATTTGTTCAAATGAGGGTCTAAATCACACTTAGACACTTCGGCTTACTTTCAAACTGTGTACACAAGTTCATTCAACTATATAAACTTATCCAAAGTCTCAGAACAACAGTCGATGTCCAATAACATCAAAATCAACTCTTGGTCAAACTTATGAACTCTTAAGTTCTTCAAATTGCCAACTTTCGACAAATGGTGTCGAATACTTCTAGGAACCTCCAAAACAAAATTCATACGTACTTACAAGTCCAAAATTATCATAAAAACCTATTGGAACTATCAAAATCTAATTTTGAATCTTTGTACCCAAAAGTCAAACCATGGTCAACTCTCTTAACTTAAAACTTTCATTTAAGAACTAAGTTTTTCAAATCACTCCTAAGCCTATTGGGACAAAAATCACCCATATCCGCAAGTCATAAAACATCAAGTGGACCTACGAAAAGTTTCAAACCACGAAACAAAATGCTAAAACTCAAAATGACTAATTGGGTCATTACAACATAGTTTATGTCCTAGTAGTCAGCTCTGCATTATCACTTGCAATTTAAGTGTTTGAAATGCGCCTCTGACTCTCTCTTTTAACAAGTATCAAATAGGCTTTGTTCACAGATAGAACTGGAATTATCATAAGAATTTAGTTGTGTGCTTGCTCATATGACTCGTTTAGTCTCATAAGAAATTACAACTTCTATCTTTGCATGAATTCGACAAAATCTCGAGATTTCACAGTCACACCTAGGAACTAGAGGTAGGGTATCAAATTTATCCCAGAGCGAACATAATTTCGAAAAATAAGATGCAATAGTATATTTACCTTGAGTCACTGTCGCAATCTCCTTATGAATTTGAAAAATCCTAGTACAATCGATTTCATCAAATCGCTCCTTTAAATCAACCCAAAGAGTAAACTATCATACTGAGCAAATTCTTCGAGACACAATTCATAATCCATGAAAGAACTATGGCTTTGCATCATTCCCATAGATCAACTAGGTTAGGATCGTAATTCTCCTTTTTTGCATGTGCCATCATGAACCGCTAACTTATTCTAGCCTAGGATTGCGATCTGCATTACACGACTCCACACAGAGTAATTCTTCGGTCCAGTCAATTGAAGAGATATCAACATAACACTTGAATTATTCCGGTCCAGTCAATTGAAGAGATATCAACATAACACTTGAATTATTCGTGGAATGTAGAAACATACGGTGATTATTGTTGAGGTTCTCCAGCAATGTTTCGAAAACGCATTTGATGAGCTCGCCTTGAAGGTACTCCAAAGCAATGATGAAGCATCAAACCCATACTAATTGCCAAAAGGTTTTGATGCCGTGTTAAAAATATAAGCTTTAGCTAATTATAGATTCACGGGAATTATGTTCTTAACTACATAGATTGGTTCTATATTTTTAAGGGGATAATAATTTCACTTTGAACAAGTACAGGGAAGTTATTTGGTCGCCCCTAAAGGTTAAGTCTGAAAATTATTTTGTCAGACAACTACACGGTGCAACTTATGTATTTTCTCTTTAAATTATCATATAATATGTGAACAGATATATTCATCGTTCCACTACATTTACATTTACATGAAACAAAATTTAACTTAAATATTAAATCCTGTCCAGTCAAATGACGTCAAACACAATCAAATGGAGGAAGTGCATCCAGCTATTCTCTCTACAAAAGGTTAAGCATTTTTAGGCGTTCTTCATGCTCTATATCCAGTTTTGGAGGAGTGTAACAGCCACGAAGATCCTCCACTATATACTCCTGCAATGTTTTCAAAGAGTGAGCATATCAACAAACTGTGCTAATAGAAACAGGAAGCAATCACCATGCCATAGCATTGGAGTGTTAGCTCCACTTGGAAAGATAAGAAAAAGATGCTTGCAGCGAGTCAGACTATTTACATGGCCGGGATAACTTAATTTTTCACTATTCCATGATATGGATTGACACTTGGGTGTGATTATCATTACTAGTCAACATTTAACGATTATTCAGACATAAAACCAGTCTGACTCCTGATGCAATTTCACCAACCCAAGTTGGTTATTAGGTTGATGCATGCACGAGTCAAGTACTCCCTCTGTTTCAAAAAGATTGGCACTAATTCCTTATTAGTATATTCCAAAAAGATTGGCACCTTTCAATATTTCCTTAATATGAAGCATTTATAGCCACACAAATGCTATGGCAAGTTTCAGACCACAAGTTTCAAAAGTTTTTCAGACACACAAATGTTATGGCTTATTTAAGACCACATATTTCAAAAGTCTTTCATTCTTTATTAAAGAATGTGCCGAGTCAAACTAAGACAATCTTTTTGAAACGGAGGAAGTAATAGATCTGTTCTTTTGAAATACGGAGCGAGAAGGAGAAGTGTTGATGCAAACCCCTAACTCGGAGATGAACAAAAAAAAAGGAAAGCAGACTTGGAACTTGTTTTTACAGCCTTCTGTAAGTTAACAAGAATTCTGGGTTGCGACCATCAAAGATGACCAAAATATACACCTTTATTAATGAAGACCACGAACTTTTCGGTAAGTGGTGAAGAACACAATCATTAGCATCCAACTGAACCCAGGAAAAGGAAAAAAGAAAAAATACTTTTTGGGACAGACCAAGGTACAGATATCGCACCTGAGTAAGTTCTCTCTTGGTTAGGATGTGGTAGTGTCTTTGCCAGATCCGCTGGATGGCCATTGTGGCTGCAAGGAAACTATATGCAATGCCAAGAATGGCAAGGATGACAACAAACACAACAACCAAAGCAAAGCATGCTTCCATTGACGCAGGAAAAAGATCCCACATTCCCCAGCCATAACAACAGTTATGACATCCAGCCATGTGTGGATCATTGCTATTAAGGGAAGAGCAGTGCAATATGAGCCCAAAAAGTCCGAGCAGAAAAAAGAAGACAAGAACTCCTGTATTATATACACCATTGTGTTAATTACATGAATATTATAATACCCTAAGCCAGTTGTTAAAGACAACAACAACAACAACAACAACCCAGTATAATCCCACTAGTGGGGTCTGGGGAGGGTAGTGTGTACGCAGACCTTACCCCTACCCTGGGGTAGAGAGGCTGTTTCCAATAGACCCTCGGCTCCTTCCCTCCAAGAACTACCCAGTTGTTAAAGAGATAAATGAAAAAGAGACAGGATCTAAATACAACATCTGCTTAAATTCAATTGTTTAGGTTTTTCAGCAGAAATTTTAGTGCCAGTTATATATTTTGTACAAATGGAGATACAAATTTGAAGCATACTGTAGTGCAGGCCCTAGCCGTAGCCATAGTCTTTTGATGCTTTTTTTGGGCTGCTATTTCAGGGAGTAGCTACAGCAGAAATTCAAATTTTCTGAGGAAAGCATCCTACTTGGATTTAAAGCAAGGCCAAAAGAAGACAATAAATTACATCATTACCGACTTCCACCCAATGCGAAATTTATGCATCTTGCCCCTACAAATTCAATAAGAGCATTTTGTTATTTTTTTTTTATAACAGTGGCGTAGGGACCTGCTTGCACACACCTTCTACTATTCCACCAGTACTTGCTAATTTCCACTAGCTCAGGCACTCGGTAACTTTGCCCACCAAGACTTAGCCTAATTAGAAGAAATTACCAAATGTTTTTTGTCTCTGTTGAAATTTGAATTCTGGTTTGCATGGTTTGCACTCACTGCATTGACCAAGGCCAGGTCGTAAGAGATCAAAGGTGCACACATTAGGTTTTGATATATAACCCCATCAGTGGCAGAGCCAGGATTTTCATTAAGGGAAGTCAAAATATAAAGAAACAAACTCACCAAGAAGTCAAGGGGTGTCATTATATAGTATATATACATATTTTTAAAAAAATTACCGAGCTATACAGTATAATTTTCCAGCGAAGGGGTACCGGTTGACACCCCTTTGGTGCTTGTAGCTCCGCCACTGAACCCCATATACTAGTACCATACAACTTAACGTCTTTACAAACATAAACATATAACTCTATCCATGTCAACTTGCAGGTCCCGAGCAAAGGAGAATGGTTGTGACAAGTTGACAACCTATAAAAATAGTCGAGCTATGATGAATCTTCTGTAAATCGAATTCGTGCGATCATGCTCACCTAGATACGAGCTAGATGTGATGTCCATGACGGAGGGTGGGCTGATAAGGGGTCAAGCAGGACTGACAAACTTCTAAGCTGGCAAGCTTCCGAAGAAGGGGTGCACATGTCACCTTAGACGAATTCCACATCGGAATGGGAGAAGAAAGTGAAGAACCTTTTTTTTATGAAGGGAATTTCATTAAATGGCATCAAGAAGATGCATAGCAAAAATTATCATATACAAATAGTTATTTTTCTGGAACAGACAAAATCCAGAAAAAGTTCAACAGTAGTTACCGGGGCCTGATTGAACCAACTAAATAAGTTAATTAAACAAGTGGCTTTAAGAGTGTGGTTGGGAGTTGAAATCCCATCAAAACATCTACGGTTCCTTTCATTCCAAAATACTCCAAAAAATAGCACCAGGTACCATTGACCAAGTCTTTTTGATGGATATCCCAGCTCTCCATGAACACCAACTCTCATAAGCTTCCTTGATACTGTTTGGCATATCCCAGGCAAGTCCAAAAACTGATACAAACATACTCCAAATGTCAGATGCTACTAAATAGTGCAAAAACAAATGCCTCACACTCTCAGATTCCATCTGGCACATATAACATCTATTTACAATCTTTATACTCCTTCTGCTAAGGAAAGTGAAGAACCTTATAAGGCATGACACAAGTTCACATGATACGAACGCTTTTGGGGCTCGATGTGGCATAGCCCAAAAAGACAAATCCGTGCGGGCCTAGGCCTAAAGCAGACAATACGTTCCATGGGCTTGGGTCGTGACAAATATGGTATCAGAGCCGAATCTCCCTTAGTACGATGGTGGAGCAAATCTCAGTGGTCAACTAAATTTAGGCGAATCCCACGTCTTTGAGAAAGTGCCCGGGAGGGTGAATGTGATGCCCATGACGGATGGCGGGCCGACGAGGACGGGTCTAGCAGGACTGACAGGCTTCTAGGCTGGCAAGCTTCTGAAGAAGGGGTGCACATGCCACCTTAGGCGAATCCCACAACGGAATGGGAGAGGAAAGTGAAGAACCTTATAAGGCATGACACAAGTTCACATCGTATGCTTGCTTTTGGGGCTCAATGTGGCGTAACCCAAAAAGACAAATCTGTGCTGGCCTACGCCCAAAGTGGACAATATGTGTCATGTGCTTGGGTCGTGACACTAGATTGGCATCGTGATGTTGTGATAAATTAGTAAGGAGTTCCATGATACTGCCGCCTCGGTATGAGGAACATAAGCAAAATTTCATCATCAACGACTGATGTTTAAAATAGGCCCACTACATTGGTGCCTGAATCTGGTGCTAGATGGAAAATGATTCTCGCATCTTATTAGAAAGATGGAGGTAAAGAAATGGTCCCACAGATTGACTCGGATAGTTAGTTGGAACATCGACTCAGGCAGATGGATACCTTAAAAGAGAAGAATTTACAAGAGACTAAACAGCCAGGGAAAAAGATTAGACAATTTGGAAACATAGCTAATGAATCATCGTATTATGGATTAGACAAAAATATGTTATTGATATTGGATGATAAATACAATACAAGAGGTCCCTATTTATAGCTATACACTACAAGGAGATATTACTCCTCTTCCAATGTGGGACAAGACTACACTATACATATCTATAAACTAACACTCCCCCTCAAGTCGGTGCATACACATCATATGTACCGAGCTTGTTACACATGTAACTAATACGAGAACCAGTAAGAGACTTAGTGAAAATATCTGCTAGTTGATCATTCCACTTTACAAACTTTGTAACAATATCTCCTGAAAGTATTTTTTCTCTGACAAAGTGACAGTCGATCTCAATGTGTTTAGTCCTCTCATGGAACACCGGATTTGACGCAATATGAAGAGCAGCTTGGTTATCACACACTAGTTCCATCTTGCTGATTTCTCCGAACTTTAACTCCTTGAGCAACTGCTTGACCCAAACTAACTCACACGTCGCCATAGCCATGGCCCGATATTCGGCTTCGGCGCTAGATCGAGCAACTACATTCTGTTTCTTGCTCTTCCACGAGACCAAATTACCTCCTACTAGAACACAATATCCAGACGTAGAACGTCTATCAAAAGGTGAT